CGCAGGTGAACACGCCAACACACACAGGTGAACACGCAAACACACTCAGGTGAACAAGCAAACACACACAGGTGAACACGTCAACACACTCAGGCGGACACGCAAACACACTCAGGTGAACATCCAAACACACACAGGTGAACATGCCAACACACTCAGGTGAACACGCCAACACACTCAGGTGAACACGCCAACACACTCAGGTGAACACGCCAACACACTCAGGTGAACACGCCAACACACTCAGGTGAACACGCCAACACACTCAGGTGAACACGCCAACACACTCAGGTGAACACGCCAACACACTCAGGTGAACACGCCAACACACTCAGGTGAACACGCCAACACACTCAGGTGAACACGCCAACACACTCAGGTGAACACGCCAACACACTCAGGTGAACACGCAAACACACTCAGGTGAACACGCCAACACACTCAGGTGAACACACTCAGGGGAACACGCAAACACACTCAGGTGAACACGCCAACACACTCAGGTGAACACACTCAGGGGAACACGCAAACACACTCAGGTGAACACGCCAACACACTCAGGTGAACACACTCAGGGGAACACGCAAACACACTCAGGTGAACACGCCAACACACTCAGGTGAACACACTCAGGGGAACACGCAAACACACTCAGGTGAACACGCCAACACACTCAGGTGAACACACTCAGGGGAACACGCAAACACACTCAGGTGAACACGCCAACACACTCAGGCCAACACACTCAGGTGAACACGCAAACACACTCAGGTGAACACGCCAACACACTCAGGTGAACACGCAAACACACTCAGGTGAACATGCAAACACAGTCAGTCAGGTGAACAACATGAAAAACACACACACACAACATGAAAAACATAAAAAATGTTAATTATTCCAAACTTTTGACTGGTTGTGTGTATTTTTCATATTTTTCTTGTGACTTTGGGGTCAAATATGACTTGGAAATCTTCATGACCTATTTTAATCACCTTTTTGCACTGTAATGCTCCTCTTGTGTGACAAATTAGTTTTTAAAGCCACAAAATCCCATGTGCACTCATTTAATTCCATGTCTCTCAGTTATAAGAGTGATTTCCCTGAAGTGAATACATGCTGCTGGAATCAGATGTGTGATTTTTGTCTCTTTCATCAAGAATCCTGGCTGTTCACTCATCGAGTGCAGAAGAGAAACAGCGCCACCTTCTGGACGCGTTAAGCCTGATGAAGAGCGCTGTCTCTCTTCAGGAGCAAGTTCTCACTGATGTCCTCAATGTTCTTCCACCTCATGAGGTACGAGATGTTTTTAATGATCACTTCTGTACAGATGATTTTTTTAGATTGTCTGTGCTAATTTTGGACAAAAATCTGCAGAATTTATACCAGCGGGAAATAAATGACACACTTCACCTTGACTGTAGCTCAACAGTGTTTAGTTTACACTAGTAATAAATAACTACACGCACACACAGTAAAACAATATTATTGTGAAATATTATTCACATTGAAATTTATCTATCTATGCACACACACATTTATACACACAGTAAAACAGTAAATATTGTGAAGTATTATTAAAGTATAAAATAATGATAAAACAATTTAAAAAAATTATATAATTATAAATCATTTCTATTCTGTTTTCCATTTTAACATTTTAGAGACACTAATTTTATATTAAAGTAGATTTAAAGTAAAACAGTAATACTGTGTAATATTATTATAATTTAAAACAAATCTAAAATAATTGTCTAAATACAAATTGTTCTAAAAATAGGCATAATTTTGTCATATAAAATATCTCTAAATAAATATTTTATTTTAAAAATATTAATATTTGAAATAATATTAAAACAATACAAAAATACAAAAAATATACTATACATTTTTAAAATGTTTTTTATTCAGTTTTTTTCATTCTGTTTCTATGTTGCTTTCTATTTAATATATTTTGGAGACTTTGCGTATTAATTTGAATGTCTCAATTATCTTTCAGAAGCGTGTGACATGAATCTCCTCCACACCTTCGATAATCTCGTTTGTTTGTCGTTTGCCGTTCCTTCGCATGCGCTAATGTGAACTCTAAAGGACAAAACACACACGGTTTGTTTCCAGAGGAACAAACGCGATTAGCAGCCGGGAAATGTGATTTGGTGTGGCGTTCGTTAAGCTCGCTGTGACGCGACCCGGTGGTTTTCTGGGCCCCTGTCGGGTTCAGCGTGCCAAACAGCACACGGCTCCTCTAAACGACACGCTAATTCATTTTGCCTCACGCTGCATTATGGATTTTCATTTTCCCAAACGGATTATCTTATTACAAAGCTCTCTGGGTGCTCATATTTATGAAAAGAGGGCAATGAACACGTTGACCAAATGTGGAAATCTGAATCTTCCATTTGAAGGATTAGTTCATGCTAAAATAGTCTGTCGTCATTTATTCACCTTCCAAACCTGTCAAACAGAAGCTATTTTGAAGAATCTCCAAGCTGCTCTTTTTCCATACAGTGAAAGCAAACCGTGATCAGAGATGTTCAAGCTCCAAAAACAACAATGAAAAAACTCCATACATATGGATTTCTTCTGGTTTTTGTGTTCTACAGAAGAAAGTCATGACCCATATGGTGAAATTAAATAAATAAATACATGCATATTTTTAAAAAATATACACAAAAATGGCCCAAAAAATATGTTTGCAAAAATGTTTCAAAATATATATACTAATAAGCACAAATTACTCTAGACAAACATTTGTGTCTTTTTTTATTGCTGAAGTGTGTTGAAATGTCTTCTTCTGCGTTCTACTGTACGGGCGTAAATTTGCTTTCCCTTCAGCCTGTGGCTTATTCATTTCACCTTTGGTGTGAAAAGGCTTTTATATTTGCCAAAAATATAACTTTTTTATTTTAAAAACAAACAAGCAAGCCCTGTCCAGATTTAAAAAGTAACGCAAAAGTAAAGTAACGCATTACTTTCCATAAAAAGTAACTAAGTGTCGTAATTAGGTATTTTTTTATGGAGTAACGCAATATTGTAATGCATTACTTTTAAAAGTAACTTTCCCCAACACTGTATGTATATATATATAAGCAATATCTCACTCGTAGATGTGAGATATGGCTGTATATCGGCACGGCTGTGATTCGGCCGTAGGTAATCACAGTGTGCCGATATACAGCCATATCTCATGTCTACGAGTGTGATATTGAGTTTATACAACAGTTCGACGGCACAAGTGTGTAAATACATAAACAACAACAACGGAATGTCTTTAAAAGCCCTCTTTTGAATCCTTCTGCCACAGATTTAAATAAAAGTTCGACAGTTTAACAGCTGAGCCCAAGCCTCCGTTACTAATTCAGAAACGTCACTTTAGAACTAGTAACGAAGGAACGTTGAGTTGCTTCATTGAAAGCTAATTGTATTGCTGTATTAAAAGCTTGCTGTATTATGTAGAGTATTATGAGAGAGAGATGGACTGAGTGAGTGTGATTAACATACCTGCATCTGATACAGCATTCATTCTTCAGATCAATCTCATATTCACAATAAACATTAGTTTGAATATCTGCTGAGGAAAGCATTATCTTTGTCGTAACGTTAATATCCTTTCTGATATCAGTGATTTTGCTGCTCAGTGCATTTGTTCGCTGCGTCAAGCTGTTGTTGAAACTAAAAATACTTTAGTTTATAGCGTTTTTCGGTATAAAAGTCTTTACTGCTGACTCACTCATAAAAACAGTCTCTTGTCACCATCTAATGGAGGAACAATGTAACTAAAATCACCATCACGAACACGCACCGTTTCTCAATACTATACACTATTACTAAATACTGTAATTGATATAGAATATTATTTATTGAATAATAATATTTAATAAACAACAACAACTGCCATCATAAAAGTTGTTAGTCAGTTCAGTCAAAAGTACAAAGGCAGCGCTCTGATATACAGCATTGAATTTACATAAACATGAGATTTTGCCAAAACTATCTTCTCTGGAACAAATAATAGATTAATGAGACCAAAGAAAACTGTTAGATTTACCCATAACGAATTATATCTCATGTGTAACCACCACAGAGACATCAGAGCCAGCGGTAGATCTGGCCGAGGTGAGGCGCTCTCTCTGTGGGTTCATGAGCGATGAACGGCCACTGACGCTCTGGAGCTCACACGTCCGAAAACCTCGAAGCAAATTTTCAAATATACGTTATCTTTATTAACAAACTGCATATTTGAACTCTAAACAAGTACATTCTCGCCTGAAAACCTCTTAAAACTACATTCCGTGACACAAAAACAGTAATATTTATAAAATGATACTGGATTTGGGCGTCCGCCGTGACACTCGCTGTAAGGAGTACCGCAAGCGGAGGGATACGATTACAAACTGTAAAACGGCTGTTGGAGGTCTGATATCAATCTAATATTGCACTGTTATCAGCCAATCAGATTCGAGGACCAGAAAGAACTGTTGTATATATATGTATATGTATATGTGTGTGTATACAAATATATATATAATATTATTTATATGATCATATAAAAAATAGTTTTCTTGCCTCTGAAATGCATTTTAAAATATATTTTGTTATGTGAAGTTTGACACTAAATATATTTTCAATTTCAAAAATATATTTCATTGAGCTTGATATATTTAGCAAATATATTTTGGCCAAAAAAACAAATTGCTGTATGGCAAGTAAAGGATCGTTTTTGGTGAATTATCCCTTCAAATGCACCGAAGTGCTGTTTGTTTGCAGGTATTCGTCTGTTGGATCCTGCATAAATCAGAAAACAGCTGATTTAATGCCGGCGGTGGAAGTTAATTCTTCCTTTACACTGATCCTCCACCTACAGCAGATGGAGCTGCCACCCTGAAAGATAATAAATCTAACCGAGACGATGCCGAGAAATTGTTCACTCAAATATATTTCAGAGAGAATGTTTGGCTTCTATATTCACTTGAGTTCAACAATTTCGTATAGTATGTAAAATATGGTTATTCTGTCAAGCCCCTCAAATTTTCTTAAATAATTTGAAACCTTCTTAAAGGGTTAGTTCACCCAAAAATGAAAATTCTGTCATTAATTACTCACCCTCGTGTCGTTCCAAACCCGTAAGACCTTCGCTCATCTTCGGACACAAATTAAGATATTTTTGATGAAATCCGAGAGCTCTTTAACCCTTCATAGACAGCAAGGATCCGAACACGATCAACGCACAGAAACGTAGCAAGGACATCTGTAAAATAGTCCGTGTGACATCAGGGGTTCAACCGTAATTTTACAAAGCTACGAGAATACTTTTTGTGCGCAAACAATAATAACATAATTTATTCAGCAACTCTTCTCCTCGAGTTACCATCTTCCAACATTTTGGAGAGTGTCCCAGAACGTAATCAACGTAATCAGCGCTGTTTATGTTCAGTAGACAGCGTGCGCATGCTGAACGTAAACATCACTCATTACGTTGAAACAATAAAATTAAAAATAAAAATAAAACATATTAAACATATTTTAAATTTCTAGCTGCCAAAGCAACATTTTTTCATGCTCGTTTAGTTTAACTTTATGTACTAAAATAACCAAAACTAAAGTAGTAATAAATTAATAAATTAAAATATTAAATAATATATAATTGATTTATTAAAAATATAGATACAACATTAAAATGTAAAGATAGTATTTTTAAAATAATAAAAATATAAAAAAATATCTAGACATTTAAAAAAACATTAATTAAAAACAACTAAAATTACTAAAATTAAAGAAATTAATGATATATAACATACATATATATATATATATATATATATAATATATTCATGTCTGTCCTTTCATGAATATTTTGGAGCGATTAAATTGAATGGCATCAGAAGTGTTTTCCGGTTCACTGAGGTGCTTCTGACGGTCGTCACATCATTCATTTGTGAGCAGGTCGCTCCTGTAAGACCTTGTTGTCGGGTCATTTCCTGTTTTCACTCCTGTTTTTCCTCAGTCTATAATTCATGACTCAGATTTACAGCAGGACGGATCGGGCAAAACCCTGTCTGTGTGTGTGTGTGTGTGTGTGTGTGTGTGTGCG